TTTAGAGATGGGGTCTCACTCTGTTGCTCAGGCTAGAGTGCAATGGTGTGATAACTCACTGTAGCCTCAGACTGGGCTCCAGGAATCCTCCTACCTCAGCTTCCCGCATCAGGCTAATTTTTTTTTTCCCCCCGAGACAGAGTCTTGCTCTGTCACCCAGGCTGGAGTGCAGTGATGCGATCTCGGCTCACTGCAACCTCTGCCTCCTGGGTTCAAGTGATTCTCCTGCCTCAGCCTCAGGAGGAGCTGGGGTTACAGGCGCCCACAACTGTGCCCAGTTAATTTTTGTATTTTTAGTAGAGATGCAGTTTCACCATATTGGCTAGGCTGGTCTCAAACTCCTGACCTCGTGATCTGCTGGCCTCGGCCTCCCAAAGTGCTGGGATTACAGGCTTAAGCCACTGGACCCAGCCTAAAAAAAAATTTTTTTTTAGAGATGGGGTCTTGACTGGATGTGGTGACTCACACCTGTAATCCCAGCACTTTGGGAGGCCAAGGCAGGGGATCACCTGAGGTCAGGAGTTCGAGACTAGGCTGGCCAACATGGCGAAACCCTGTCTCTACTAAAAATACAAAAAATTAGTTGGGCGTGGTGGTGCACACTTGTAATCCCAGCTACTTGGGAGGCTGAGGCAGGATAATTCCTTGAACCTGGGAGGTGGAGGCTGTAGTGAGCTGAGATCGTACCACTGCACTCCAGCCTGGGTGACAGAGTGAGATTCCATCTTAAAAAAAAAAAAAAAAAAAAAGAGATAGGGTCTTGCTATGTTGCCCACACTGGTCTGGAACTTCTGAGCTCAGTGTTCCTTCCACCTCTGGTGCCCTAGTAGTTGGGTTTACAGGAATGAGCCACTGCACCGGCAAGTTGTGTATATTTTCACAAATGCATAATTGTGCCACAAAAACACTAGTTTTTAATATTATTTGAACCATCTAATCATAGTTACCAGTGCTTTAGAAAACAAACCCACATAATTGCCTATGGGATGGACCAAATGACAGTTAACTGTTCATTGTCCTAAAGCAGGAAAGTTAAAGGGGTGGAAAAAAATAACAGAAGTGGGTGGTCCTGCAAGGAAGGGGGTAAGTAGATAGGATTAGGCTGGAGATGTTTCAGCTCACACTCTCACTGAGGATAAAAGGAACAGACAAAAAACTGAAAGGGAACAGCTGCTTCTTTGGGTGTGGGGGTGTATCTGGATGCATATGAATTATAACAAATTGAAAACTGATGATAATTCAGATTTAATTTGGGATACCTGGTTGGAATGGAAACCAGAGTTTATTTGCAAATTGCTCCCAATGATCACACTCACACATATGAATTCATAAAACAGTTTACTCAGTAAACATTTGGGTACAGAGATTTTCTTTTCAAACAGAGCACAGAAAGGTCAGTAACAGGTTTGACCTAGCACAGCTTCCCAAGCACTGATGAGTGGATCAAACACTACAGCTTACACAGGATGCTCCTCACAGAATGAAAAACAGCTACTCATTTTCGGTTAGCTATTAGCCTTCTAGCCCCACCCTTGTGGTTTTTTTTTTTTTTTTTTTTTGAGACAGATCTCGGCTCACTGCAAGCTCTGCCTCCTGGGTTCACGCCATTCTCCTGCCTCAGCCTCCCAAGTAGCTGGGACTACAGGTGCCCACCATTACGCCCAGCTAATTTTTTTTGTATTTTTAGTAGAGACGGGGTTTCACCATGTTGACCAAGATGGTCTTGATCTCCTGACCTCGTGATCTGCCCGTCTCGGCCTCCCAAAGTGCTGGGATTACAGGCGTGAGTCACCGCGCCCGGCCTGTTTTTTCTTTTTTGAGACGGAAGCTCACTCTGTTGCTCAGGCTGGAGTGCAGTGGCGGTGCCATCTTGGCTCACTGCAACCTCCACCTCCTGGGTTCATGCGATTTGCCCACCTCAGCCTCCTGAGCAGCTGGGTTTACAGGTGCTCCACCACACCCGGATTTTATATATATATATAGGTTTTTAGTAGAGATAGGGTTTTGCTGTGTTGGCCAGGCTGCTCTTGAACTCCTGAACGCAAGTGATCCACCCACCGTGGCTTCCCAAAGTGCTGGGATGACAGGCATGAGCTATTGCATCTGGCCAGCCTTACCCTTGTAATGAAGCAGTGAAGTACAGCTGGCCCAGATCTCAGCCAACATCATCTTCTGACAGAATCTGCTTCATGCAGATACATTACACACAACAGGACACAATGCACATGCCTTGTTCATACCCTCAGAGTTGCCTGGCAATTACCATGGTTTGGGGACGAATCTACACTAGACCTGCATGGCTGCGGTGGTAACACTCCATTGCTTAACTGCTCCTTTCACATGAGCACTCTCTAATGAAAATAAAACGTTAATTCACTTCCCCCACCCCCTATTTTAAGTTTAAGCTTGAATTTTTTTTTTTTTTTTTGAGATGGAGTCTCACTCTGTCGCCAGGCTGGAGTGCAGTGGCACAGTCTTTGCTCACTGCAACCTCTGCCTCCTGGGTTCAAGCAATTCTCCTGCCTCAGCCTCCCAAGTAGCTGGGATTACAGGCACGCGCCACCATGCCCGACTAATTTTTGTATTTTTTCTTTTTAGTAGAGATGGGGTTTCACCACGTTGGCCAGGCTGATCTTGAACTCCTGACCTCGTGATCCTCCCGCCTCGGCCTCCCAAAGTACTGGGATTACAGGTGTGAGCCACCGTGCCCAGCTCACTTGATATGTTTTTTATAAGTATTTTTAGTGATAGGAATGCTTACTTGCTTTATTTATTAATTATTTTTGTGGAGAACAAAGTCCCACTATGTTGCCCAGGCTGGTCTCAAACTCTTTGGCTCAAGCTCTCCTCCCACCTGGGCTTCCCAAAGTCCTGGGACTGCAGGCATGAGCCACCACATCTGGCCAGTAGGTCAGTAATGCCTTTTTTTTTTCTTTTTTTGAGATGGGGTCTCGCTCTGTTGCCCAGGCCAGATTGCTGTGGCATGATCTCAGCTCACTGCAAGCTCTGCCTCCCCGGTTCACGCCATTCTCCAGCCTCAGCCTCTTGAGTAGCTGGGACTACAGGCGCCCACCACCACGCCCGGCTAATTTTTTGTATTTTTAGTAGAGACGGGGTTTCACCTTGTTAGCCAGGATGGTCTCGATCTCCTGGCCTCGTGATCTGCCCACCTTGGCCTCCCAAAGAGCTGGGATTACAGGCGTGAGCCACCGCGCCCGGCCCTGGTCAGTAATTCTTTAATGCGAACTCGTTATAAACGTCCCTTCACTTACATTTCTTTTCATCTTAGCAATGAATGCCTCGATAGCTACATTCTTTTTGCTGTGCCATTTCAAGATTTAGGTATCACTAAATAAAAAACCAGGTGTTCCTTTTTTGTGTGTGTGATAGAGTCTCACTCTGTCACCCAGGCTGGAGTGCAGTGTTGTGATCTCAGCTCACTGCAACCTCGGCCTCCTGGGTTGAAGCGATTCTCTTGCCTCAGTCTCCCGAGTAGCTGGGACTACATGCACACCACTACGCCTGGCTAATTTTTGCCTTTTTAGTAGAGACGGGGTTTCACCATATTGGCCAGGCTGGTCTCGAACTCCTGACCTTGTGATCTGCCCGCCTCAGCCTCCCAAAGTGCTAGGATTACTGGCGTGAACCCTGGTTTATTTAATGTTAGCATTCTGACATGATGTTAAGTGACCTCGATACAATGAGTAATAATTATGTTCTAAGTTGAAAAGATCCCATAAGGAAAATAAAGAAGTATTAGATAGCATCACCAACTTCACAGATTTGGTCTCAAAGTAAATCTCCTACATACTAAATAATTTAAATTAATATGGTGATGGAGTGTATAGCATTGGAAGAAAACTTGTTGAAGAAAGCTTACTTTATTTTTATTTTTTTAAGAGGCAGGGTTTCAGGCCGGGCGCGATGGCTCAAGCCTGTAATCCCAGCACTTTGGGAGGCCGAGACGGGCGGATCACGAGGTCAGGAGATCGAGACCATCCTGGCTAACACGGTGAAACCCCGTCTCTACTAAAAAATACAAAAAACTAGCCGGGCGAGGTGGCGGGCGCCTGTCGTCCCAGCTACTCGGGAGGCTGAGGCAGGAGAATGGCGTAAACCCGGGAGGCAGAGCTTGCAGTGAGCTGAGATCCGGCCACCGCACTCCAGCCTGGGTGACAGAGCAAGACTCCGTCTCAAAAAAAAAAAAAAAAAAAAAAAAAAAGAGGCAGGGTTTCACTCTGTTACCCAGGCTGGAGTGCAGTGGCCTGATCATGGCTCACTGCAGCCTCGAACTCCTGGGTTCAAGTGACCCTTCTGCCTCAGCCTCCCAAGTAGTTAGGATTACAGCCATGCACCGTCATGGCTAATTTTTTTTTTTTCTTTGAGATGGAGTTTTGCTCTTGTTGCCCAGGCTGGAGTGCAATGGCGTGATCTTGGCTCACTGAAACCTCTTCCTCCCAGGTACAAGCGATTTTTCTGGTCTCAGCCTCCCACGTAGCTCAGACGACAGGCATGCGATACCATACCCGGCTAATTTTTTTGCATTTGGTAGAGACGGGGTTTCACCGTGTTAGTCAGGCTGGTTGCAAACTCCTAAACTCAGGTGATCCACCCACCTTGGCCTTGCAAAGTGCTAGGATTACAGGTGTGTGTCACTGCGCCCAGCCCAAAATGGCTAATTAAGATTTTTTTTTTTTTTGTAGAGGTGAGTCTTGCTATGTTGTCCAGGGTCTCAAATGCCTGGGATCAAGCGATCCTCCCCATTTGGCCTCCCCAAGCACTGGGATTACAGGTGTGAGACACCACTCCCAGTCGAAAGCTTACTTTGGATATAACTGATTTGAATTTTATTCTTGTGAAATAGTGATGAGATTTACATCATCTACTTCTAAGCTGCAGACAGTCATCATGAGGCACATAAAATTTTCTAAGGTAAGGAGAGTGACAATGGACTTTCCCCTTCAGTCTATGGCAAAATAAAGGGGGGCATGGGAGAATCCTGACGGTGGAAATCATTTTATTCTCATACACAGGTTATTACAGCACAACTAGGGAGAGACAATCACAGGCAACTCACAATGCTATACTCAAATCATGCCAAAGTCCCAATGTATTCATCTCATTTGCTAGTCAGTTCCTGAAAGACCAGAGCAGAGTGATACACAAGTTTATTAACACCGACTACAATGTCAACGAAGCCTTCTGGCATTGTCCAAAATAGAAAACATGTGTAAAGATCTTCAAAATGCAGGTTGAAATGCAAATTCAAGTGAAAGGCAAAACCACTGCTTGAAGCCTAATGGCAATTACTTCCTGTCAAAGGTTTGTGTCCCAGCCGGAGAGAATGACTGGTGGACAGAAGAGAAAGAAAGGCAAAATTCCTAAGGGAGAAATTCAAAAAATGATGGAGGTGCTGCCCTCTGCACTGGGCCTCTTTGGCAGTCTACTTCAACTTAATTTATTAGCGCCATAAGGTTGTAAGAGAAGCAACTCTGGCTTGATCTTAGAAAAGCTGCTTTTCTTTTTGGCATCATATTTCTGGTGAGAACTGATGGGAAAGGTGGTGTGGATTCTTGGACAAAGTCTGTAACATAATCTTGACTACTGAAGGGTAAAGACTTGCCCACAGGTTACAGATTACATGAATTATACACAATAAATAATAGCAGATGATGGGACAGGGATATTTTAATTGTACAGCATAACACTTTAGAGAGCTGGGAAGTGTGGGACATCATTCTTGTCTTTCTTCACTCAGTAACTGATTATCTTGTTTCTTGTCCATGGATATTTAACCTAAATAACGATGCTTTTTGAAGGTTGTTTGGCTGACCCAGAGGTAGTAAAAGACTTCATAAGTCTTTCTATTACTGAAGAGGGGCTTAGTAATAACTGCAAGTCCATTTATATATGTAGCAGATGGTAACAATCTCCAGAGCCACTGACATATGCAGCAGAAAAGCACAAAGAACTTTGTATTTGTTATAATTTCTACTGCATTGTCCAAATACAGATAGAAAAATACTGATATATAGTGTGGGGAATCTTGAGACATTTCAGCCCATGCACTATGAGGCACTTGTACTGATAATTGATTATCACAATTTTATTAAATGCCCATCATTTAACAGATGGCACAGAAAACAAATGGCACACTCAAAAGATTAACTTAAGAACAAATAAAGGCACTATTTACAAATATGTGTTCACAATTAAAGACACCCAACCAGTGGGTTGGGGAAGCACCCAGTAGTAAAGTCTGAAGATCATGGAGAGGGAATGGTGTCAACTGAAACCAAGAGATCTACGGCCATAGACGGGGGCTTCCCAAAGGGAGCTGTATCCTTATAGGAACACAGAAACTACCTAAACCATGGTCCAGGCAGGAGGAAGGGAATGGTAAAAAATACCTTTTTTTCTCCTCCCATCTGATCTCTTTCTGGTATCTCCCATTGTTCAAACCTATGAAGAAACCCCAGTCTCTAGAAGACAGTCTTGCAGGGGGTAGCAGAGCAGAAAATGGGGGAAAAGGAATCAGAGAAATAGGGAACACTCAGCACACATGCAGATCCACAATCCACACAATTTCTGTCATGTGCCTGGTACAAATTCAAGTTACCCTGAGCCCGGAAGGAACAGGCTTCTGACTCAGATGATGCAGTCTACTCAACTATATTTAACAATTCACACTTAAGTGTTATCATCATCACACTTTACTTCTAAATAAACTCCAAATATGTTATCATTACTTTGGCTTTAAGCAGCCAATTCCCTTTTAAAAAAGAGAAATATCTTTTATATTTACCGACATATTCACCATTTTCAGAACTTAATTCCTTTGTACAGACCCAAACTTAAGTTTTGTATTATTTTCCTGCTGCCCTCAAACTTCCTTTCATATTTCCCGAAGACAGGTCTATAGGTAATAAAATTATCTTTGATTTAGTTTGTCTGAAACAGTCTTTATTTTGCCTTCATTTTTGAAAACGTTTTTGATGGAAACAGAATTCTAGGTTGCAGGGTTTGTTGTTTATTTCATTCAGGAATTTAGAGATAATACTCCATTGTTTTATAGTTTGCATAGTTCTCACCATAAATTTGCTGCCATTCTTTGTTCCTGTGTATGTATTACCTTTTTTTCTCAAGGTGTTTTAAAATTATTCTGTTTATCAGTGCCTTTCTTGAATGTGACTCTGAGGTGCACTGCTGTGAAATAAATTATGTTTATTCTACTTCAGGTCATTTGAACTTCTTGAATATGTGGGGGTATTGTTTTCATCAGATTTGGAAAATCTTTAGCCAATATTTATTCAAATACTTCTTCCTGCCTCTTCATTTTCTCCTCTCCTTCTGGGACTCCAGTTACACATATATTACACCACTGTAACTGTTTTCCTATTCTCTTTAAGTCTTTTTTTCTCTCTGTATAACATTTTGGTAGTTTTTATTCTTACTCTTCAAGTTTATTGATTTTTTTCTTTTTCTGTATCTAATCTCTCCACCCGGGATTTTAACAAAATCAGAAGGTGTTTTCATCCCTAGAAGTTCTATTTTGGCCATTAAAAATATCTCTTATACCTCAGGTTTCATCAACTTCTTGCATATGTGGGGGTATTGTTTTCCTCTACTTTATATTTACAATAGCTCTTTTAATATCCTTGTCTACTAATTCCATCACCTCTGTCTTTTCTGGGTTTCTATTGATTTTTCTCCTGGTTATAAGTCATACTTTATTGCTTCCTTGCATGCCAGATAAGTTTTTTTTTGGATGCCGAACACTACAGGTCCAGAGTAGCTTTTTAATCTAGAGCTAATTAGCCTCACTACTAAAACAAAACCCTTCTGAGAATTCTACCTGATGCTCCATGTGTTCGAATCTGTTTCCACTCTGGCTGCTGAGAACATAAACTATTCCCAGCCCTGCATGAGTTCCAGGAATTGTTCAGCCTGCTGCTTTCCAGTGCTTCTTTTCCTGGCCTCAGTGCCAAGTCAGTACTAAGCCAAAGGACTCAGGGGACTGTCTGCAGACTTCTTGAGCCTTGTCTCTAGGGAGATCCCATCTCTCCAGTACTTTCCCCTGCAAATTCTAGCTGCTGTGGCCTCCCCAACTGCCAATCCTGTCTCTTCAATTCAGCAAGATTTACTGTTTCCCCTCCCTGAACTGCAGCCTAGTAACTGCCATGAGGGGCCAGGCTGAGAAACCATGGTGCTCACCTCACTCTGTCTACAGTCTCCTGAGGATCACAAACCTGTGCTTGTCCTATGTCTAAAAACTGTCATATATTACATGTATTGGACAGCTTCTAGTTGTTTAAGGCAGGAGAGAAAATCTACTGTGCTTGTCCTATGTCTAAAAACCATTATATATTATATGTATTGGACAGCTTCTAGTTGTTTAAGGCAGGAAAGGAAATCTGACTCTTGTTATTCCATCACAGCAAAAAGCAGAACTCTTCACATCTAAGTAAACACACCTAACACTTACAATTGACTGCTTTTTGTAATAATTTATATATAAAGAACACCACTTCCTTACAGAACTATTTCAATAGCATCACGCTTATCAAATTCTTTACATTGAGACTACTCGTCAGTATGAACCTCTGTAGGTATTATTCTCAAGTGCACAGTGAGTTGTCCTTTCTTGAAATCTTTCACTTGCTTGTTATAACAATATAATTTTCTTCCTGTTTAGGTATTCTAAACATTTGATAAGCTGACTTTTGACTAAAAGCTTCTGTACTATCACAACACTAATAAGGTTTTCATCTCAATGAGTCATCCAATATGTAATGAGTAGTGTCTTCTGGGAGATGACTTTTTTTACATTGTTTACTTTTAAAAAACTCTCCTTTCTAAATTCTGCATAGTGACTCTTGACTCCCCAATTCAAGCTTTTTCAACAGTCACTGCCTCAATAGGGTTTCTCTCCCTTATTCATCCTCAAAAGTGTTAGAAAGTATGACATTTGATAGCAACCTTCCTGAATTCACCAAACTTATGATTTTTATATTATATGATTTCTCTGATGTATCATAAGCTGCGACTTCCTGTTGAAGGTGGTCCCACACTCATTGCATCCATAGTATTTATCTCCTGTATGAATTCTCTGATGTCTCATAAGGTGTGACTTTCTCGTGAAAGACTTCCCACATTCACCACATTTATATGGTCTCTCTCCTGTATGAATTCTCTGATGTATAATAAGCTGTGCCTTCTCAAAGAAAGCTTTTGCACAATCATTGCATCCATAGGTTTTCTCTCCCGTGTGATTTCTTTGATGCTTAATGAGCTGCACTTTCTGAACAAATGCTTTCCCACATTCATTGCATTCATAGGGTTTCTCCCCTGTATGAATTCTCTGATGCCTAAGAAGCTGTGGCTTCCAGGCAAAAGCTTTCCTACATTCACTACATTCAAAGGGCTTTTCTCCAGTATGAGTTCTCTGATGATGAATGAGACTTGACTTCTCACTGAAGGTTTTCCTGCATTCACTGCACTCATAGGGTTTCTCACCTGTATGTGTTCTCTGATGTGATATCAGGCTTGACTTCTGGGTGAAGGCCTTCCCGCACTCACTGCATTCATAAGGCTTCTCCCCAGTGTGTGTTCTGTGATGCGTTAGGAGCTGGGACTTCCCAAAGAAGGTTTTCCCACATTGAATGCATCCATATGGTTTCTCTCCTAAGTGAATTTTTTGATGTCTTATTAACTCTGACTTCTTAAAGAAGGCCTCTTCACAATCACTGCATCGATAGTTCTTCTCTCCTGTGTGAGTTATCTGATGTTTAATCAGTTGTGGTTTTCTGATGAAGGCTTCACCACATTCATTGCATTCGTAGGGCTTCTCTCCTGTATGAATCCTCTGATGCCTGATGAGAAGTGAGTTCCTGCTGAAGGCTTTTTGACACTCACTACATGCATAAGGTTTCTTCCCTGTGTGGGTCCTCTGATGAGTAATAAGCTGCGACTTCCAAAAGAAGGATTTTCCACAGTGACTACACGTATAGGGTTTCTCTCCTGTGTGCGTTCTCTGATGTGTGATGAGTTTTAATTTCTGCGAGAATGCTTTCCCGCACTCACTGCAACTGTAGGGTTTCTCTATTGTGTGAGTTATCTGATGTCTTTTAAGCTGCGACTTCCTACTGAAGGCTTTTCCACATTCACTGCATCCATACGGCTTCTCTCCAGTATGAATTCTCTGATGTAAAATGAGGAGTGACTTCCTACTAAAAGCTTTCTGACATTCGCTGCACCCATACGGTTTTTCTCCTGAGTGAGTTCTTTGATGAATAGTGAGCAGTGACTTCTGTGAGAAGGCTTTTCCACACTCACTGCATTGATAGGGCTTCTCTCCTGTATGAGTTCTCTGGTGAATAATAAGTTGTGACTTCTTGTTAAAAAATCTGCCACATTCCACGCATAAATAGACTCCTGTGTGTGTGTGACTGGCAGTGAGCCATGGCTCTTTGTTGCTGGGTTTTCTACATGTATTGCAATCACAGCGTTTTATTCCACCATGGGTTCTGTCAGGTTTGATACAGAATAATAATTTATTATTGAGCTCATCAATTTTCTTTCTTTCACAGTTATTTCTTGGAATAAGCAAATCAAAAGGACGTTTCAAACTTTTTTCTCCTGTGCCACATTTATGGGATCTCATTCCTACATGAACAACGTTTATGCTTGAATTAAATATTTTTCCAAAAACATCATATTTATGGCCTCTCTCCATACTTTTAAGGTTGTCTTGATTATCTCGGAGCCACATTTTGGGATTATCTAGCCAGACTTCTAAAAAGAGAAAAAAATGAACCATACTGTGTAATTCCTTCAATTATTATGCTTATCATGTAAAGGTTCTGAAATTGGGCCATAATCCTAGTTTTTAAAAAATCTCTCAAATAATGTGTACTCATTGGGCATTGACATTTAACATAAATGAAAATTAATTTTTAAATTACAAATGTTTAAATACATGAACTTTTATTTTTATTATTTATGTTTTTGCGACGGAGCCTCATGCAGTCACCAGGCTGGAGTACAGTGGTGTGATCTCAGCTCACTACAACCTCTGCCTCCTGGGTTCAAGCAATTTCCTGCCTCCGCCTCCCAAGTAGCTGGGACTACGGGCATGCACCACGACACCCAGCAAATTTTTGTATTTTTAGTAGAGACGGGGTTTCACCATGTTGCCCAGGATGGTCTCAATCTCTTGACTTCGTGATCCACCCACCTTGGCCTCCCAAAGTGTTGGGATTACAGGCATGAGCCGCCGCACCTGGCCTTATTTATTAATTTTTTTTGAGAGGGAGTCTTGCTCTGTCACTAGGGTGGAGTGCAGTGGCATGATCTCAGCTCACCGCAACCTCCACTTCCCGGGTTCAAGCGATTCTCCTGCCTCAGCTTCCTGAGTATCTGGGACTACAGGTTTGCACCACCACACCTGGCTATTTTTTGTATTTTTAGTAGAGATAGGGTTTCACCAGGTTGGCCAGGATGGTCTCGATCTCCTGATCTTATGATCCACCCATGTTGGCCTCCCAAAGTGCTGGGATTACAGGTGTGAGCCACCACACCTGGTCAAATACATGAACTTTTTTTTTTTTTTTTTTTTTTTTTTTGAGACGGAGTCTCGCTCTGTCACCCAGGCTGGAGTGCGGTGGCCGGATCTCAGCTCACTGCAAGCTCCGCCTCCCGGGTTGACACCATTCTCCTGCCTCAGCCTCCCGAGTAGCTGGGACTACAGGCGCCCGCCTCCTCGCCCGGCTAGTTTTCTGTATTTTTCAGTAGAGACGGGGTTTCACCGTGTAGGCCAGGATGGTCTCGATCTCCTGACCTCATGATCCGCCCGTCTCAGCCTCCCAAAGTGCTGGGATTACAGGCTTGAGCCACCGCACCCGGCCAAATACATGAACTTTTAAATGAGGAAATATTAAATATACTCAAAGAACAGTGATCATGAGATGAAAGAGCCTGGAGCAATTTCCAATCAAATACTGAGGTGATTAGTTTATTTTTTTGAAAATAATCTACGATTATCTACCATGTGTCCAGAACTTAGTGTGAGATCAGAGAAGAAAAGTGGTAAGTATACCACCATTAGAAAGCTTCACAATATAGTTAAGAATGTGATTAATAAAAACATAAAAATGCAACATTAGTATATGTTGTTGAATAGTATAATAGAAAAAGGGATATAATGCAGAATAAATGTACAATACGAACTTTACACCTGAAAGATAAGAAACATTAAATTTTTGGGCTGGGCGCGGTGGCTCAAGCCTGTAATCCCAGCACTTTGGGAGGCCGAGACGGGCGGATCATGAGGTCAGGAGATCGAGACTATCCTGGCTAACACGGTGAAACCCCGTCTCTACTGAAAAATACAAAAAGTTAGCCGGGCGAGGTGGCGGGCGCCTGTAGTCCCAGCTACTCGGGAGGCTGAGGCAGGAGAATGGCGTAAACCTGGGAGGCGGAGCTTGCAGTGAGCTGAGATCCAGCCACTGCACTCCAGCCTGGGCGACAGAGCCAGACTCCATCTCAAAAAAAAAAAGAAACATTAAATTTTTGTACTATTGTTGCATTTATAAAATATTCTTATTCAGGATCATTACTTAAATCACTGATGTCAATAACTTCACCATCATCAGTAAAACTTCCTTTTGTAATTATCCAAGAGTTCTCCAGAGCTCAGTATCAACACTTTTATTTAACTTCTTCACATTCATCCTCCTTTAATTGAACCTATAATTGAATCTATAAAGTATATATTGTATCTATATGTAATGCTATCATTGGAAATTACTCCTAACCATAATAATTTTTTGTATAATAGTAGGACAGATATTTTCGTCCAATAAGTACAATTGTTTGTGATTTCTACAAGACCATTTATTGCATATTTTAAAAGTTTATTGACTTTTTGATGATATTCTTTACTAGCAATTGTGGGGTAATATTCTCAGGAAGTACTCTGCAAGATGAAAAGATCTGGCACGGTCTCAAATATAAAACGAGGCTGGGCCTGGTGGCAGCTCACACCTACAATCCCAGCACTTTGGGAGGCTGAGGTGGGAGGACTACTTGTCTTCAGCCCAGGAGTTTGAGACCAGCCTGGGCAACATACAGAGAACCTGTCTCTACAAATATTTTTTTTCTAAAATTAGCCATGTGTGGTGGTGCACACCTTAAGTCCCAGTTACTTGTGAGGCAGAGGGGGTGGATCACTATAGCCTGAGAGGTTGAGGTTGCAGTGAGCCATAACTGCATCACTGCACTCCACCCTAGGAGACAGTGAGACAGAGGCTCAAAACAAACAACAAACAAAAACAAACAAACAAACAAACCCCAAAAAACTACTCTTTTCTTGAGGTGAAAAGCCTCAACTAATTTTCAGACATCAGAATTTCAGATGAAGCAGGCTGGCTGTGGTGACTGATGCCTGGAATCCCAGCACTTTAGGAGGCTGAGGTGGGTGGATCACTTGACCCCAGGAGTTCAAGACCAGCCTGGCCAACATATTGAAACCCCATCTCTACCCAAATACAAAAATTAGCCGGGTGTGGTGGTGCATGCCCGTAATCCCAGCTACTTGGGAGGCTGAGATGGGAGGATCACTTGAGCCTGGGAGGTGGAGGTTGTGTGAGCCGAGAGTGAGCCACTGCACGTCAGCCTGGGTGACTGAGACCCCATCTCAAAAATAAAATGGAATTTCAGAGGAGGCACCACTGCTGATATGGAAAATTAAAGTGTTGGTCAGGTGTGGTGGCTCATGCCTGTAATCCCAGCACTTTGGGAGGTCAAGGTGGGCGAATCATGAGATCAGGAGATCGAGACCATCCTGGCCAACATGGTGAAACCCCATCTCTACTAAAAATACAAAATTAGCTGGGTGTGGTGGCGCGTGCCTGTAATCCCAGCTACTCAGGAGGCTGAGGCAGGAGAATCACTTGAACCAGGGAGTCAGAGGTTGCAGTGAGCTGAGATTGCACCACTGCACTCCAGCCTGGCAACACAGAGAGACTCCTAAGAAAGAGAGGGAGGGAGGGAGGGAGGGAGGGAAGGAAGGAAGGAAGGCAGGAAGGAAGGAAGGAAGGAACATTTAGTGTTTCAGGCATAAATAAATATGATAATACTATTCATTGAGATGAAAAACACTATGCAAAGAAGTTTGAAGATCAAAAGCAAGAGTCATGTAGACAAGTGTGAGATCCACTTGAAGAGTTTACAGAAAATTGTTTTATAAGGTGTGAGAACAAAGGAAAACAATAATTTTAAATTAAAATCAAATCAAGATGCGATTAAAAATATGTCTATCCAGGCCAGGCGTGGTGGCTCACGCCTGCAATCTCAGCACTTTGGGAGGCTGAGGCAGATTACGAGGTCAAGGGATTGAGACCAGCCTGGTCAACATGGCGAAATCCCGTCTCTACTAAAAATACAAAAACTAGCCAGGCGTGGTGGAGCACACCGGTAATCCCAGCTACTTGGGAGGCTGAGGCAGGAGAATTGCTTGAACCTGGGAGGCGGAGGTTGCAGTGAGCTTAGATTGTACCACTGCACTCCAGCCTAGCGACAGAGTGAGACTTCGTCTCAAAAAAAAAAACAACAACAACAAAAAAAGTCTATCCAAATTAATGAATTAAATGGTAAACAATAATAAAGTAGTTTATATGTAGACTTAAAAGTAGTATTTTGCGATTTTTTAGTCAGGATATCACTGTGTTGCCCAAGGAATGAAGAGGTAGGGTCATACCTCACTGCAGCTGCAAACTCCCAGGCTGAAGTGATCCTTCTGCCTCAGTCACAAAAGTAGCTGGGACTGTTGGTGTGTGCCAGCATGCCTGGCTAATTTTTCATTTTCTTCTTGTAGAGATGGGGTCTTGCTATGTTGCCCGGGCTGGCCTTCAACTCCTGGCCTCAAGCAATACTTCTGTCTTGGCCTCCCAAAGCACTGGGATTACAGGCATGAGCCACCATATCACACCCACCAAAATGTCATTTTGATGGCACACAAACAAATACCCTCTTTCTTTCTTTCCTTCATAGTACTTATCAAATAGGTAATCCTTTTACTCATATCTCTCCCAGTAGAATGTAAACTGTATGAGGGTAGGGAACAGATTTGTCTTTTTCACTAATGTACCCCCACTGCATAGCACATAACAAGCCCTCAATATAGGTAGGATAAATATTATTCACTTATCATTGAGCTTCTAAAGTAGTTCCTTTCAGTATCATTAATCTTGAGAATTTTGCACTTTAACACAAATGCTTCATGTTCAAATACTGAATTGCTGAATATTTTATGGTTTTATATTGTCTTCTAAATTAAAATCCTACAAAGTTATTTCATGACTCATTTCTTTTCAATTCCTCTCATTCCACATGAGAAGTGGGTCTAAATTAATAGGGGAACATAATATCTATCTTTACAGCTTTTCCAAACTGCACATACTCAGACCTAAAAAACAATGGGAATGGTACCTAGATATCTGCAACCTGAAATATTTCCCTGCTGTGCATTATGGCTCACTCCTGTAATCCCAGCACTTTGGGAGGCCAAAGCAGAGGATCACTTGAGCCCAGAGTTTGAGACCAGCCTGGGCAACATAGTGAGATCCTGTCTCTCCAAAAAAGCCAAAATTTTTAAAATTAGCTGGGTGTGGTGGTAGTCTCAGCTACTGGGGAGGCTGAAGTGGAAGGAGCTCATGAGTCCAGACAGGTCAAGGCTGCAGTGAGCTGTGACTGTGCCACTATACTCCAACCTGGGTGACAAAGGGAGACCTTATCTAAAAAAAAATTAAAAATAAATATTTCCCAAAGTAGATGCTTAGATGGAAACTTTTCTACTGAAGAAACATCTGACAAACAAGACTTTTCTTTATTTGGCTCCATAATAACCAATTTTTAAAAATCAAATAAGTACATACCACAAATTCCACAGAGAGCACACACTACGCTACTGGCCATCTTTCTTCATGGGGCAAAAAATCTTAGGACCTAGTTGTTTTAGGAATTTCAGACAATGTCTCATCAGGCCTGAGTTACTATACTATAGACGCTACATGGGTAGAGATTTCAGAAAAAGCTGTGAGTCGAGGAACATTCACTGGAGTTGAAGAAAAGAGCTGAAAGTGAAGTCTACCTGGGGAAACTGTACCATAATCAAAGGCACAGATGCAGAGAAAAATTTCAGAAGAGCAGTGAGGAAGAATCTAGCCGAAATGGAGTTAATAATGACTTCTATGCACAGAAAAATAAATGGAGAGATAAGATGTTCCCATACCACGAGGTTCTTCAACATAAAGGTAACGGGTACTTAAACCCACCTGACTATGTGATGGGATGGGAGGGAAGCTTTAGAAAAGTTAAACATCAAATGTACCAGAAAAATGCACTGGGAACTGACTTGAAAATCCTTAGTCTGTACAGAGGAAGGTAAGAAGCAAAATCTCCTTACTATGTTTAAAGTATTAGGGTTTTTTTATGTGCTTTTGTTTTTAGAGACAAGGTCTCACTCTGTTGCCTAGCACATCCGTGGCTCACTGCAGCTTCCAGCTCCTGGGCTCAAGCAATCCTCCCACTTCAGCCACCCAAGCAGCTGGCACTAGAGGTGCACACCAGCATATTTGGCTAAGTTATTATTATTATTAGTAGTAGTAGTAGTAGTCGTAGTAGTAGACATGGGGTCTTGCTTTGTTGCCCAGGTTGGTCTCAAACTCCTGGCCTTACGTGACTATCGTGCCTTGCCCTCTCCCCAACCTCCAGAGCATGAGGATTACAGGCATGAGCTACTGCGCCCGGCCTAGATCTTCATTCTGTATCAGTGGGTTCATCTTCTACTCTCTGTGGTTTTAAAATAGAAATACATCAAATTACAGGAAGAGAAGAAAAATAATAAATTAAAAGTTTAAGTTTAAATAAACTCAAAGGCAATCAGTGTTATCTAAAAGAAGAAAAAAACTATGAATTCATAAAGAGAGCCTTAACCAAGAAAGTGGGGTTCTAATGACCACCAATCTGTGCCACTGAATAAGATGGATACATTTCATCATAAACTCCATAGAGAAAAGACACATCCCGATGTGGAGAACAGGTTATGGAGCACATCTGTTAAAAATCATGAAGAACTCATGTCACCAATCTTGAGTGAATTTTAAAGATTCAGGAACTTTAAACAGTTTTATAAACAACATTTTAAAAGTGCCCACCTGTCATCAAAAACCAGAGATTAAATGTTCACTGTATCTCACAAACCTGATTATTCCTCACCTGAAAAGTTTTGATTTAGGATTTCTTGACCTATTATCCATGGATCTTGTTGTTCCAGTTTGAAAATTACATCAGGTTTGAGAATTTGATAACCTGTCGATTGGAAACACAGAGGACTTGGACCTAAATGCTTGGGCTAAGAGTCTTAAATATGAAGAATGTTTTATTACAAAGGCTGTGAAATAAAAAGCAAGTGAATGAAAATCTTTCAATTTAGTATAAAAGTCAAATAATCTTTGACATGTAAAACTTACGTCCAAAATCAACAAACACCTCACAGGCCAAACAGTTACTGGCCATACAGTAAGTTACATAAGAATGTTCTTACCCAAGAAAATCAGATTGCTATAGTTCTCCAACATCACATCCCTGTACAAGTTCTTCTGAGTAGGATTAAGTAGCTGCCATTCCTCCAACGTGAAATCCACAGCCACATCCTCAAATGATATCTGGAAAAGCACAATCCCTGTTAAACCTGAAGTGGTTCTCACTTGGTCTTGTAAAATACTTCCTTCTGTATTTGTGGCAGGCGGCCTCTAAGATGGCCCCTGTGACCTCTGACTCTGGTATTCATGCTTTTGCGTAATCCTCCCCTCTTGACTGTGGGCTGGACTCATTGACTCATTCTCCTGAACAGAATAGGGGAACATGATGAGATGCCACTTCCAAGACTAGGTTAGAAAGAAATGCAACTTCTATCCTGGGCACTCTTTCTCTCTGGAGGAGTCTGGCTGCTGTGTTGTAAGGTCGCCATGTGGAAGCTCATGTGCCACGGCACTGAGGCTTCCCAACAGTCACTGAGTGAGCCTGGAGGAGCCAGCTCCTTCCTCGCTGCACCCTGAGATGACGGCAGCCCTTCTCAACACCTTCATCACTGCACCATGTGGGACCCTCAACTGAAACCAACTGGGAAGCACCTGGCAGATTCCTAAGCCCAGAAACTGTGAGATCAATGTTTGCTGTTTTCAGCCCCTGAGGTTTGGGGTAATTTGTTACACAATAACTAATACAATACAATATAATATAACATAATATAAAATAATCTTGAATTACGCTTTTTGTTGCCCAGACTGGAGTACAATGGTGTGATCTCGGCTCATTGCAACCTCTGCCTCCCAGGTTCAAATGATTATCCTGCCTCATCCTCCTGAGTAGCTGGGATTACAGGCACTCGCCACCACTCCCAGTTAATTTTTGTATTTTCAGTAGAGATGGGGTTTCACCATGTTGGCCAGGCTGGTCTTGAACACCTAACCTCGTGGTCTGCCCGCCTCGGACTCCCAACGTGCTGAGATTACAGGCATGAGCCACCGCACCCAGCTTAAAAATATTTATCATTGTGAATTCATTCATCCATCGACCTATCCACTGAACAAGAAACCAGAATAGGTTGTCTTTAAACAATACAGTGGTTCTTAAAGAAGGTGCCACTGGTATTTGAGAACCAATTTTAGCTAAGTAACATTGTCCCATGCAGTTAAGCCCTTCAGCATGCCTGGCCTCTGTCTGCTAATGACAGTAATATCTCTCAGTCACTGGCTGGGCACGGTGGCTCATGCCTGTAATCCCAGCACTTTGGGAGGCTGAGGTGGGTGGATCACCTGAGGCCAGGAATTCAAGACCAGCCTGGCCAAAATGGCGAAACTCCATCTCTACTAAAAATACACACACACACACACACACACACTCAGCTGGGCATGGTGGCGGGCGCCTGTAATCCCAGCTACTAGGGAGACTGAGGCAGAAGAATCACTTAAACCTGGGAGATAGAGGTTGCAGTGAGCCACGATTGCACCCCTACACTCCAGCCTGGGCAACAGAGTGAGACTCTATCTCAAATAAATAAATAACAAAACAAACAAACAAAAAAACCACTCTCTTCCCTCTGGGCGTGATTCTGCTCCCAAGTAAGAACAACTGGCCAGCAATTTTAGATATCTTCCAAAACACACATATTGAGCAATTAAGATTCCAGGAACTATCTGGGTGCGGTGGCTCACTCCTGAAATTCCAGCACTTTGGGAGGCTGAGGCGGGTGGATCACCTGAGGTCAGGAGTTGGAGACCAGCCTGGTCAACATGGTGAAACCCCATCCTATTAAAAATACAAAATCAGCCAAGCGTGGTGGTGCATGCCTGTAATCCCAGCTACTCGGGAGCGTGAGACAGGAGAATCCTTTGAACCCTGGAGGCGGAGGTTGCAGTGAGCCAAGATTGCACCACTGCACTCCAGCCTGGACAATAGAGCAAGATTTCATCTCAAAAAAAAAAAAAAAAAAAAAGAAAAAGAAAAGAAAAGAAAAAAGATTCCAGGAACCATAACAGGTATCAGAAATTTAAAAATGAGTAGAAAAATATCATGTTCTCAAGTACCCTTCAGGCCAGAGTGAATAAGGCTACAGGACTATGAAACTAGCATTTACAGAATATAGAGACAAAACAGGGATAAAAACACTGGATTTGACAACACTGGCTCAGGTGCTATAAAGAAGTAAGGCTTATGAAGGGTCTCTAGAAAGTCCTGGTCACAGAGAGGGATGAGGAAAAGGACACTCTCAAGGCAGCAGCATGAGCAAAGGCATGGAAACAGAGTGTGTTTTCTCAGGGATGAAAGTTCAGGAATATAAGAGAGGAAGTGGGAGTGGGAGCGGTGGGAAAGGTCCTGGCCTCTTTAAAAGGGAAAGTGGAAAACTTGAGAGGTAAGCAGAGGCCAGCCTCCATTTGGACTCGGGTAAATTTGAACATTCCTGTCCCAACAGTTACAAGGAACATAGAAGAAAGGAGAAAGGCTTAGAACAAGCCCAAGCATAGAGGACTAATAGGTTATTTTCCTTCATAAAGCTGGAAGACAAGGAGTACTCTGTGTGTGGGTCAATGAAAAATAAAAATCAAAGAAAATTAATTTCTTGCCTCAAATGTTAGTGTTACACAAAGAGGTCAGAAATTGTCCCTGAGAATTATAACAAGCTAGATTTAGATGGGTGTATGGGCTGAACTCCAGTATAGATGTGTTTTGCAAAAACCTTAAGCACAGAGTTCTAAAGTGTTTTTGAGGGTGACGTGCATTCAGGCATCCAGCAGAATCAAATGCAAATTCTATTTAGAGAAAGAGATCCAAATAATTCTCATAAGGTTCAAGAAAAATGAGTACAGAGTAAAAGAGAAACCAGAATGCACACATTAAAAAAAAAATTGGCTGGGTGCGGTGGCTCATGCCTGTAATCCCAACATTTTGGGAAGCTGAGGCGGGCGGGTCACCTGAGGTCAGGAGTTTGAGACCAGCCCGGCCTACACAGGGAAACTCTGTCTCTACTAAAAGTGCAAAAATTAGCTGGGCATGGTGGCATGTGCCTGGATTCCCAGCTACTCAGGAGGCTGAGACAGGAGAATCACTTGAACCCGGGAGGCGGAGGTTGCAGAGAGCTGAGACTGCGCCACCGCACTGCAGCCTAGGCGACAAGAGTGATACTCCATCTCATAAAATAAATAAATAAAATAAAAAATAAAAGAAATCTATTTATTTACGTATTTATTTTGAGATGGAGTCTTACTCTGTTGCCCAGGCTGGAACGCAATGATGCGATCTTGGCTCACTGTAACCTCTGCCTCCCAGGTTCAAGCGATTCTCCTGCCTCAGCCTCCCGAATAGCTGAGATTACAGGCACACGCCACGACGCCTGGGTAACTTTTATATTTTCAGTAGAGATGGGGTTTTGCCATGTTGGTCAGGCTGGTCTTGAACTCCTGACCTCAGGTGATCCACCCGCCTCAGCCTCCCAAAGTGCTGGGATTACAGGCGTGGGCCACCTTGCCTGGCCTGAGAAATCTAATTTTTAAAAAAGACAGGAGAGGTATAAAAGACTTGAGATATTTGAACTGTCAGCACAGAATATAAAATAAATACATTTAATATATTCAAAGAAATAAAAGATGCCAATGAAAGTATGAAAAAGAATCAGAAGGCTATACAAATGAATAAATGGATTTGAAAAAGAATGAAATACAACTCCTAGAGATAAAGTGCATAGTAAGTAAAGTTAAGAAGTCAACGGAAGGGCTTAAGAGTAGATTAGAAAAAGATGAAGAGGGAATAAGTGAATTGGAAGACAGACCAGAAGAAATTCATAATGAAGCAAAAGAACAGAAATGGAAAATATAAAGCAACCCAGCTATATGCTGCCTATGAAAGAGGCACATTTATGTTCCAAATAGTTTAAACATAAAAGCACTCACATTACTTGATTTCAAGATTTCCTATACAAGCACAGTAATTAAGACAGGATGGAATTTGTGAAAGGATAAAAACACAGGTTAATGGAACAGAACAGAGAACTCGAAAATAAGCCCCTACAAATATACTCAATTGTTTCACAAAAGTACAAAAAGCAATTCTACAGCCTTTGTGACAAATAATGTCAGAATAATTTTATACTCATAAGCAAAAGAAGAGATCTCAACACATACCTCACACCTTATATCAAAACTAACTCAAAATGGACCACAGACCTAAACACAAAAAACTATAAACCTTTTAGAATAAAACCAAAGAAAACCTGTATGACTTTGGGTTTGGCAATAAGTTAGATACCACACCAAAGGCCTGATCAATTTAAGAAAAAAATTTGATAAATTGGACTTTTTCAAAATTAAGAACTTTTGTTCTGTGAAAAACAATGTTAAGAGAAATAGAAGATATGGCACAGACTAAGAGAAAATTATTTGCAAATTACATACCTGCTAAAGCACTCATATCCAGGATATAAAGAACTATTAATAAGAAAATAATCCCATTTTAAAAATTAGCAAAATATCTTGACATTTCACCAAAGAAAACACATGGATGGTGGCCAGGCGTGGTGGCTCATGCCATGCCTGTAATCCCAGCACTTTGGGAGGCCGAGGCAGGAGGATCACCTGAGGTCAGGAGTTTGAGACCAGCCTGGCCAACATGGTGAAACCCCATTTCTACTAAAAATACAAAAATTAGCTGGGTGTGGTGATGCACACCTGTAATCCTACCTACTGGGGAGACTGAGGGAGGATAACTGCTTGAACCTGGGAGGCAGAGGTTGCAGTGAGCCAAGGTTGTGCTACTGCACTCCAGCCTGGGCGACAAGAGTGAAACTCTGACTCAAAAAAAAAAAAAAAAGAAAAAAGAAAATGCATGGATGGAAAGTACACATCGGAAAAGATGTTCAATATCATGTCAAAAGGTGAATGCAAATTAAAACTATAATGAAATACTACTATGTACTTATTAGAAGGCTAAAACTAAACACACATACACACACACACACACCTGACAAATATCAGCGAGGATTCAGAGCAACAGCAGCTCTCATTCATTGTGGTGGGCATGTAAAATGTACAGCAGCTTTGGAAAACATTTTGGCAGTTTCTTACAAAGTTGAACACAGACTTACCACACAACCCAGCAATCCCACTCCTAG